TCCCTACTGATTTTACTCAAATCTTGAACAGTTTTGAAAAATGGTTTTATAGCCTCCTCCTAAGGCATCATCACTAAAATCTTAAATTCTATTTCGTCATCACTGCATCCGGGATCCCATGAGATTGCTTCGCGCATGCGTTCATCAGTGCTAACGCTTCGCTTCAGAAAGCTTCTACTGAATAAAATAAAAAATTCGTCTTTTAAGACATCACTCATCGAGACTTGTTGGAATTTTCGCACTTTATGATCACCGTGATGGCCTCCCAGAGTGAAGAAGATAGGCTTTTATCAGAGGATGTGGTTTTATCGCAAGAATCGGACATTGGTAGTTTGGCGGGAATCTTGCAAGGCATCCAAAACTCCTTGGCGGACCTAGCTCAGGCTTCGGCTTCGAAAGATCAATCAGCAGCTTTTTAAAACCTTCACGAAGATTAACAAGTCCAGCAAGATTCTGGGTTCGAAATTGAAGATAACAACGACAAAACAAGCACGGTTGACCCAACACGTGTTGTAAATGACTTGCTCGACTCGAGCAGCAATGGCGATGGCGCCGTTGTTAACAGTCAGAATAACTCTGACACAGAGAAACATACTGACTTACTTGAAAGCCTGACACAGGCGTTTATTCCCTCGGAGAGAAAATCTCCCGCTATTGCAACCAAAATTGCTGATCTTGTAGACAGCATATTGTCAGGTAAACTTTCACCAGAAACCGTGAAAGAACGGGGCGAGAAATATTTCCCACCCGAAAACTGTCAACGCGTCTGTACATCTACAGTTAACGAAGAGATCTGGGATTTACTACCCCGACGAAGCAGAACTGTAGATCTCGCTTTTCAGCGAGTACAAGAAACCTTGACACAGGGTGTTTCATCATTAGCACTTCTAGCTGATAAGTTAGCTAAAGATGTGCAGAATAAGCGAACTCCAGACATGATGGAAATTATGCATCACGTCATGGACAGTCTTGTACTTGTGAGTCATGCAGACTGGAGTTTGAATATGAAAAGACGCGAACTCATCAAGCCTGACTTAAACGCTCCGTTTACTCGTTTTTGTAAACCAGAAATAGCTACAACAACCAAACTCTTTGGTGATGACCTCACCAAACATCTGAAGGACATGACAGATGTGAGTAGAGTGGGGAAACAATTGCAAAAGAAAACCCAACAGCACAGCTATAGTCAGAGAAATCACTTCCATAAACCTTATGACCGGCCTAGCCCAAGCTACAACTATAAAGGTCATAATACCAAGAAGCCTTTTTTATGGCACGGCCGTGCAGCATCCCAGACAGGGGTGTTGCACAAGAAAAACAACAAGAAGGTAAATTAGAAACACAGGTAATATTTGATAAAGATTGTTCTAAAAATGTGTTAAGCAATAATTTGCAATGCCAGACACTGGCTTTTACTGCAGGCCAAGTAAAGAATCATCTATCCAACTGGGAATATATTACACAAGACCCCATAATTTTAAGTGCTATTCAGCACTATAATATTGAGTTTGCGGAGAGCCCTCCTTTACAGGCTAATCCTCCTAAAAATACAATTTTCTCTCCATCTGAAAAAGAGATCATCAATAATGAAATTGCTAAACTCCTTAGCAAAGGAGTCATTGAGCAAGCTGCTTACACACCAGACAGCTATCTCTCAAATGTGTTTGTCAGGCCTAAAAAGGATGGCACTCACAGAATGATTCTCAACCTTAAATCATTAAATGAATTTGTGGCATATCACCATTTTAAAATGGACACTTTTCAAACAGCTGTTAAGCTCATTCGGCCAGGATGTTTCATGGCATCAGTAGACTTAAAGGATGCCTACTATTCTATCCCTGTTGCTGCAGAGGATCGAAAATTCTTAATGTTTAAATTGCAAGATTCGTTTTTTCATTTCACTTGCCTGCCTAATGGCTTGTCATGTGCGCCCAGATTATTTACGAAAATACTCAAACCAGTCTATGCCCATCTCAGAACATTGGGGTACACATGCATGGGACATATTGATGATTCTTTACTTGTTGCTTCTGCCTTTAATGAGTGTGAAAATAATATCACTACAACAGTTGAGTTATTTACTAAACTGGGCTTCACTGTACAACCTGATAAGTCAATTTTGAAACTACTAGAGAAATAGAATTTCTTGGGTTTTTGATAAACAGCCTGACAATGACAGTAAGATTGTCAACAACCAAAGCAATTAAAGTTCAGTCTGTCTGTCAAGACCTCTTGGGAAGCAACAAGCCTATTACTATCCGACATGTGGCTCATGTGATAGGGGTTTTAGTGTCCAGTCTTCCTGCAGTACAATATGGGGCACTCTACTATAGGAAACTAGAGCTTAACAAAACTCAAGCCCTTAGGCACAATTATGGAAATTTTGATGCAATAATGCATCTGTCTGAGGGCTCAAAGGTAGAATTATCATGGTGGATTAACAATATTCTTAATTCACAGAGGTCACTTACTATAAGTAACCCAGTTATCACTTTAACTACAGATGCCTCACATCTAGGATGGGGTGCAGTGTTAAAGAACAAACTGGAGGGCATTGGAACCCACAAGAACAGGAATTTCACATAAACTATTTAGAGTTGAAGGCAGTTTTTCTAGGATTGAAATCCTTGTGTAACAACTGTAAAGATATACACATTTGCATAGAGTCAGATAACACCACAGCTGTGGCTTATATCAATCACATGGGCGGGGTCAAGTCAGAGGACTGCCATGACATAGCACTCCAAATTTGGGAGTGGTGTATTTCAAAACAAATCTGGTTAAGTGCCCGCCACATTCCTGGGGTCCTAAACGTCCAAGCTGATACAGCTTCAAGGGAATTTAATGACTCTGTTGAATGGTCACTATCAACAGAGGTGTTCCAATCTATTCTCACACAATGGGGATACTTTGATATTGACCTGTTTGCATCAAGGCTTAACAACAAAGTTAATGAATATGCTGCGTGGAAACCTGACCCAGGCGCAAAATTTATTGATGCATTTAGTTTTAGTTGGGAACCTTATTTTTTCTATGCATTTCCACCTTTCAGTGTGATTGCCAAATGCCTGAAGAAAATAGAGGAAGACAAAGCAACGGGGATTCTTCTGGTACCATTCTGGACAACTCAGGCATGGTTCTCACCTATAACAAAGGTTCTTGATTTTATACCTCTCTTTATGGAAGAGGTCTCCGGTATGATGCAATTAACACTGCTAAGTCAGCAATATCAGCAATTACTGTGACTAGAAACAGCCCTACCATCGGTAACCACCCGCTCATTTCGCGGTTTATGAAGGGAGTTTTTAAGAGCAGAGCTCCTGTCCCTCGATATGACTCGACTTGGGATGTCCAACCGATGTTATCTCATTTATCCTCCTTCGCTGCACCAGATGAATTAAACCTTAAATCCCTTACGCTCAAGCTGGTTGTGTTAGTGGCTCTAGTATCAGCACAGAGGATTCAAAGTATTCATTTACTCAATTTACAATTCATGAAATCAAGTACTGACCAAGTCGAATTTGCTTTACCAGAACACATAAAACAAACCGACCCGGTTACAAAGTTCCATCGGTTATCCTTAAGGCATACCCGATAGATTCTGCCTTGTGTGTGGTCACACATTTGAACGAATACCTTGAAAGAACAAAAACATTGAGGAAGGATGAGAACAGACTGTTCATTAGCTTTGTTAAGCCTCACAAGGGCGTTTCGAAAGACACCATAGCCAGATGGATCCGTACAGTCATGGGTGATGCAGGAATTGACGTCACTGTATTTAAACCCCATAGTACACGATCGGCAGCAACATCTAAGGCTAAACAAGCATGTGTTCCTATGCAGGACATACTAAAACAAGCGGGTTGGTCAAATCAGCGAACATTTGACCGGTTTTAATAAACCAGTTCGACAGGATTCTGTATTTGCAGAGTTGGTCCTAAAGTAATTATACGCAGTAACTTAACGGAACCGAATTAATAAGCTCTAGCTGTTGTATTCATTAGATTGTTATGTTCATTACAATTGTTACGTTAGGCACGTGTTGTCTCTCATGTGAATGCTGGCTTTAAAATCTCATGGGATCCCGGATGCAGTGATGACGAAATAGAAATAGAATTGAAAATTAAACGAGACTTACCTGGAAGTTGAAGTTTGATTGGAATTCTATGAGTCATAACACTGCATCGAGGGATCACATGCCCAACCACTGCTGGTCCCACCCTTAACGCTGATGTATTTCCAGCAAGATTCGGATGTTTAGCAGGATATATGTATGAATCTATGGGATAACATTCACATTCGAGCTTTAAAAACTGATGAACGCATGCGCGATGCAATCTCATGTGATCCCTCGATGCAGTGTTATGACTCATAGAATTCCAATCAAACTTCAACTTCCAGGTAAGTCTCGTTTAATTTTCAATTTTTCGTGAAAGCATGTAATATCACTTTTCCTTTTGTCTCGGTTACAGATGTTACCAAATTAAAAAATGCTTTTTTGGTTTAAGTATTACGATTTTTCCTAAACCCCAATTATTCGATTTTACTGAATTTTAAAATCTATTCAAATATTTGTTCTTTTTTATGTTTTTTTTCATGAAAGAATGTAATAGCACTTATTTCTGGAACATTTCGAGGTAGCCTCCTCCGCAGGCATCTCTTATGTACTTATATTAGTCATATTAGGCATGGAGTAGCTGTGTCATACCAAATATGCATTTTTTTAATAAATAAGAGATGCCTGCGGAGGAGGCTAATTTCGAGATATATTTTGAAATTCGGAAAATTGGGGACTCAGAAATGCGTTTATATGCATGACGGCTTCACCACCATCAGTGTAAATGCTAGCAATTAAGAACTACATACTGCGAACCTTAATACCCAAGATACCCAAATACTATGTACTGGCCGGGCCTAAAAACCGGGCGTCTCGACGTTTGCCGTGATTGCCAAACTTTAGGCACCTAATACTTTTAACCTTAACCTCTTCATGCATACAGGGCTGAAGGTTTTTTTCAAGAAGGAAAATTTATTGGAAAGCAGCCACAAGTTTATGATCCAGATGATGTTCCACCGCTACCAGACCCTGAAAAGTAAGTATATCTTGTGATCTGTTGTGATCTCTATCATGACTGGAAAGATAACTTCATCCTTCAACCTTCTGCGCTGGGGCACGAGATTAAAGTTAAAACTCATTGTTTTTTTATTGAGCATTCCAAGAGAAGAAGAGATACGTCGACAACGGACATCAGAAGAAAATGAACGAAAAAGGATCGAGCGAGAGGAAAGACGCAAACGCACGAAAGAAAGACAAAAAAAATGGAGAAACAAATATGGGACAATACAAGCAAAATAACCATGTACAGAGAAAATATCTTTACGCATGGCATGTCTGTATATGTGTGTTAAAATAATATTTATTGAATTATTATTTTTCAAGAGACAATGCTCTGAGGACTCAACACACTTAAGAGCGTCCATGAGACGGCTTAACGTGAAAGTTTCGAAATAATCGCCCATTATGTTAAAAATCGATTGTTTTCATCGAGTTGAGGTCAGTTGTAGAAGCTTGATTTCAATTTAGTCTTAATTGTCAAGGTGAACATGTCAACACATGTCTATTTATGTGCACTATTTAAATCGCTGTAAAAATAAGACAATAAAAGACAAATTTACGTCCATCCTTCTATTTACGGTCTATTTCGATCGTCTCGCTGAAAATGACTTCTTCACGAACAAAATGGAAACTAGGCTTAACCGTGGAAGATGAGACAAAAGTAAAGAACGCGAGAAACATCACCAGTGCAAGGAAAACCGTCTTTAAGCCCGTTTTCGACCAGGCGAGTTTATTCGCGCGAACGGATAAAAAGTAGGAAGCGGTTCTACTTTTTCGCGGCGAATTTTTCACATTCCCGGATTTCAGATATCGCTTAGCGTCGCGCGAATAAATTTGCCTAGTGGAGAACGGCTTTAGGCTATGTGAGCGTCGTTTTCGAGCGTTTTAAAAAATGTTTATTTATCTTGAACTTCTATTGTAGTAAATTGGCGGTATTTGAAACCGTTTAGGCATATGAGAGGAGGTTTAAAACGCTTCAAAACGTTACCGTGTGCACATAGTCTTAGGCATATGCTATATAGCATAGTTATAGTGAGAATCAGCCGCTGTAGTAATTCATCCAATGACATTGACAAACTAAATACCGACCTCGAAAGCGTACCTAAATGATCATTAGCTAACAAATTGACATTCAATACAGAAAACCCCAGAATTTATGCTGTCGGATCTCGGCAAAAAATATCAGGTATCCAGGAAACAGGTTTTAGGGGCTGTTTACATGAGCCCGGTTACCCGAGATTCAACGAAGCGTGAGAGGACTTTGAGGTATTAAAATAAGTCTTTATGACACCAAACAAGCACATGCTATTGTTGTGGTGATTATACGACTACCAGAATCATGTTATCTGCTCATTTCAATACTTCAAAATCATCTCACGCTTCGTTGAATCTCGGGTAACCGGGCTCATGTAAACAGCCCCTTAGGAGCCATAATTAATGATCAATTAATATGGAACGACTTGACGCACAGTGTAAAGAACTCAAGGGTTCAGATTGAGTAGAGGAATGCCTTTGGCAACATTAGGTACATTATACACTAACAACGTACAAATCTTATGGCATACAACAAAAACTTCATACACGAGATGCCCTGGTGATAACTAATTCAAGTCGTGCTTGACATCAAATCATCTCAGCTATTTGATAACTTAAAGTGGGAGCAGATTTGAAGCCATGCTTACAAAATATCGAAGGTTAATCGCGGGTTAGATCACGTTAAACGAAATTATAGTTAATAAAATATACATGGTTTGAAGACCACATAAAACTACAATGCAATTGCATTGTTATTAACTATGTTGATGCCTCATTTATGCAAAATATTATTCCTTTCTCATCACATATCTATTGTACTGTGCACAGATAAACCAATAGCAATCTTATAATCAACATATTTTTCAAGTAAAGGTTGAGGAGCTTAGCAAGACGAATGCCATGCATTGGTATGTTTGGCTAAAATACAATAGACACGTGACGAGAAAAGAACCATTTTTTGCATAACCCCGGACAATAATATTTAATTAGTTGTATTGTGCTTTTATTTAGTCTCCAAACCATGTATACTTGATTTTGAACAAGTGTAGTTGTCATAGAAAAATTGTCAAAGTCTGTAAAGGGCTTAAGGACGAGATATTTTAGAAAGCGCCAAAAATATTTTTATACCAACTAATAGTATGTTTAATGGAATATTTTTAATGTGTTTAAACAATTGAAAGTTATCACTGAGAAATTCCATCTACCTTAATTACAGATAACATAGCGATGATGTCAGGATAGTATGTTCTCAACATTTATCTGTGACATAGTGGACGTTACCACACTGTCACCCAATTGTTCATTTTTGTCATCAGAACTGGTTATGCTCTGTTCTTGACTGAAATCGTCTGAAAATGGTAACGAAACTGATATTAATAGAGGGAATTGGCTTGAGGTATATAAGAAAAAAGATAAGCAGTCCAACCGAATGAGACAGCCATTAATTGCATGCACTTGCTAGTTTTAATAAGTCTAGCGATGATCAAATTTAAGTGGGATGGTAAGAGAGTTGTTGTATATTCTCAATCGTGTTTAGACGTTGACAGAAGTGGACAAAGTCTAAAACTGTAATTATTCATTTCTTTTAATGATATTGATAACCACCGTCGTCGTTTTCCCTAAGGTCCCTATATTACCACGTAACCAGTATCCGCAAATAGCTATATGTAAAAGATTTTCCCGGTAGAAACCTTTAACGAATTACATTCTATACATTTGATGGATGTGAACGAGCGAATCAGTTACGGATTTTCATTTAATCATGGACACTCGTATAGTAAAGCATAACTTTTCGCTCGTTTGCATCTATCAAATAGAGATTAGACTAGTGTAAAAAACTCTTAACCAACCTTGTTCATCGATTGATCCAGGACTTCTGCAGGATTCTACACTGCTCTTCACCACTTGTACTGTTGAGTCCGCGTTCCCGATATTCTGCGTTATCTCGCCATACGCATGATCAGCTTGTGCAGTATCAAAGGTGCTTTCAACGCTATTGGATGACGTCACTTCCTGTTGATTTTCGGCATCCTCTTCCGTTGTCATGGCAGCATACACATACGTCACATTATCAGCGGATATAAACCTTGGCATCGTGCTGTACCCTGATGTAACTAAAGTTGCAGGGACAATGCTTACAGCAACTTCAGATTGTGACGTCATGTCAGATGATATCTCGTGACCAGACTCCTGCATGATAGCGCTCGGTGGCGTCCCGGTGAGAACAACAGGAACACCCTGCGGTTAAATGAGAATATTTAAGATTCATGGAGAAAAAAACAGGCTGACATTTAATTGGCAAATTAACAAGAGTTAGGTACTAGATTCATATAAAACCCACAGAAATATAAGGTGATGTGTGGTAAGGGCTGGTTTCCATTTAGTCGAAATTGTAGCGAACATGGTGGTGATGTATTAGAATATTATTACGACCAGTGTGTAGTCAAAAATGACTGACTTGAATACAGAAAGTATAGACAATTTACATTTGGATTATCAAAGACATGTAAATTTCAGATTTTAACGATAATTTTCCACGTCTCATGAGTCGAGCCGATAAATTTTTCGTCGACATTCAAAGCCCAAAATGTAACGGCTAAGCTATCTTCGGTTCAAATTGATCAACTTCGGGTTGTTTTAAACCCTTCTCATTGTCTTTTGAATTAAACCATCACTCCGAATGAACAGTCTTTAGATCAGATCACACGAAACAAAAAGAGAGAGTACGTTCCAACGTCAGACGTGAAATGGATCCAACAAAATTGGATCGCGTGAACGGAATTTTAAAGGATTTCACACAACTCGTAGGGTAGGGTCGCAGCTCCTCGCAAGAATGATTTTCATTGGCTGAACTTTACAATACATTTCTGTTTGAACAAATAGCAAAGCTTCGTTCTTTAGAAAGCATAGAAAAGCATTATCCAATTGGACGAAAGCTTCCGAGCACTGCGACATGACCCAACTCGTACCTGAATTTGGCTGTCCGTAGTTATGGTTACTGGTAGAGTGATATGTCCAGTGGTACCATCAGACATTTGATGAGATATATCACTCAGAGTATGGTTTATTGCTTGCATGGCCGCAACAGCTGCTGTATCATCAGACGACACGACCATGGAGTAGGTATGACCATTGTCAGCAAATTCTAACCTTGATCGTTTTAGTTCAGGTTCGCCATCTGAGCTTGAAACATATGTTTCCGCATCTAAAAGATAGGATCAGGTATTAGGAAAAATATCAGTTTCCTTTAATAGGGAACGGTGAGCGGCTAAAATTGTCACAACAGTGTACCATGTAATAGTGTACTAAGAAATTTTCCATTAAATATAGAGCTTTTTTACGACAGGGAGTGACTGTACGAAGAATGTCCTATGTCCACTGGATAGTAATTTTGAGACCGTTTATAAAATAAAAGTAAAGAAATAAGCCTAGTTGAACAGTTTACAAAATATTTTGATGGAAGAAAAAGGTTTATTGTCATTACGTCAGCGAAATGTATAGCAGTATAGTAACTATAGTCTTCGGGCTACCCATGAGATTGGTCGATAGTTAACCACAACGTACCGTCTGCCATTGTTATTCCAGACATATCTCCATGTGAAGTTCTCTTATGTAAAGCCAATGTAGAAGCTTGTCTGTATGTCTTATTACATATGGTGCATGTGTAAGGTTTGTTATGCGTGTGCACCACGTGATGTTTATAAAGACTTGAATATTCCGTAAATCTTTTCTCACATCCATCAACTTGACATACGTACGGTCTCTCTCCTAGGTTAGGAAGAAACAAATCATAAGTAATCGGAAACTGACAGCGAACTCTTTGTGGACCGGTACATGCAATACCTCGGTGGTCATCTTGACGCCGAATTGGTTGCCAGAATGTCAGTCAAGACCTATTGTTTTTGTTTTCACGCTCGACGATCGCAAAAACAGTAGAAATGAACTGGCACTGGTGTCCAGTGGCTTTGAATTGGCTTCAAAGATGACGACTGAGGTATCGTCCCAATCTTATTAGTCGTAACTGGTAACTTTCGTAGGCAAAGAAAAGGTTATTTCTATACTCAAAATAAATTTTGAATTTCACATTCCTTAACATTCGATCGAGGGTTGCCCTGAAACGAAATCGAAACACCCTGCGATTAACATCCGTTTAACGAACTAGTTCGTGATATTATGCATGTTTGCAATGAATGATCCCTTCTGGAAATCCGGGATTAAACGACTACAGACGCAACAATCCTGTAATCAGACTGTTCCTTACCTGTATGTATTCTTGTGTGGTTCTTATAGTTTGTCGCACTTGCAAATGATTTTGTACATCCTTCGTACTCGCAGACGTAAGGTCGTTCTCCAGTGTGTGTTCTCATATGTACTTTACGGATGTTGGATGTTGTGAATGATCGGTCGCAGGATTCATAAAGACATTTAAATGGTCGTTCGCCTAAACGAATATAAGATGCAATCATATATATGTTATATACCAGATGCAGGTCCGTATAGGCAAATATTTTCCAAGGTCTCACGTTTTTGTGACGGAGGGAAATATTTCCC